GAAAGAGGCCACTGCCATAAGGGAACACCATTGCCATGAAGCGGTGTACATGGTCTGCAACAATCTCGAGGTAGGTGGTACAGTCAGGTCCATAAATATTGGGACATCGACACAATTCTAATCTTTTTGGCTCTATACACCAACACAATGGATTTGAAATGAAACAAACAAGATGTGTTTTAACTGCAGACTTTCAGCTTTAATTTGAGGGTATTTACATCCAAATCAGGTGAACGGTGTAGGAATTACAACAGTTTGTATATGTGCCTCCCTCTTTTTAAAGGGACCAAAAGTAATGGGACAGATTACCAGTCATAAATCAAACTTTCACTTTTTAATACATGGTTGCAAATCCTTTGCAGTCAATTACAGCCTGAAGTCTGGAAGGCATAGACATCACCAGACGCTGGGTTTCATCCCTGGTGATGCTCTGCCAGGCCTCTACTGCAACTGTCTTCAGTTCCTGCTTGTTCTTGGGGCATTTTCCTTTCAGTTTTGTCTTCATCGAGTGAAATGCATGCTCAAATCGGATTCAGGTCAGGTGATTGACTTGGCCATTGCATAACATTCCACTTCTTTCCCTTCAAAAAAAAAACAAAAAACTCTTTGGTTGCTTTTGCAGTATACTTTGGGTCATTGTCCATCTGCACCGTGAAGCGCTTTCCAAGGAGTTGTGAAGCATTTGGCAGAATATGAGCAGATAATATTGCCCGAAACACTTCAGAATTCATCTTGCTGCTTTTGTCAGCAGTTACATCATCAATAAATACAAGAGAACCAGTTCCATTGGCAGCCATACATGCCCACGCCATGACACTACCACCACTATGCTTCACTGATGAGGTGGTATGCTTTGGATCATGAGCAGTTCCTTTCCTTCTCCATACTGTTCTCATCCCATCTCTCTGGTACAAGTTGATCTTGGTCTCATCCGTCCATAGGATGTTGTTCCTGAACTGTGAAGGCTTTTTAAGATGTTGTTTGGCCTATCTGTTTTTGAGGCTCACCAATGGTTTACATCTTGTGGTGAACCCTCTGTATTCACTCAGGTGAAGTCTTCTCTTGATTGTTGACTTTGACACACATACACCTACCTCCTGGAGAGTGTTCTTGATCTGGTCAACTGTTGTGAAGGGTGTTTTCTTCACTAGGGAAAGAATTCTTCGGTCATCCACTGTTACGGTTGCCTCCAGGCTGGCTGAAAGTTGGACCGTAGAAAGGATGCTCCTAGCGCTCACCAAAGGACCATCAGCACCGTAGACACCATAAGTACTGCGTAGACCACCATAAGTACTGCAGACTCAATGAACCACCGCCGCTGGGCTCGCTGTCTGCTATCCACCCTGGACCTACAACCAGGCTCCAGGTTCCAATAGGTGAACCTCTTCCTTCTGTAGAGCGAAGCAGGAACAGGAACAAGAGCTCTTACAAGAGCTCAGTAGTTAAGGGAGTATGAAGAGCATAGTAATCCCTGTAGTGATTATACAGGGAGTGCAGAATTATTAGGCAAATGAGTATTTTGACCACATCATCCTCTTTATGCATGTTGTCTTACTCCAAGCTGTATAGGCTCGAAAGCCTACTACAATTAAGCATATTAGGTGATGTGCATCTCTGTAATGAGAAGGGGTGTGGTCTAATGACATCAACACCCTATATCAGGTGTGCATAATTATTAGGCAACTTCCTTTCCTTTGGCAAAATGGGTCAAAAGAAGGACTTGACAGGCTCAGAAAAGTCAAAAATAGTGAGATATCTTGCAGAGGGATGCAGCACTCTTAAAATTGCAAAGCTTCTGAAGCGTGATCATCGAACAATCAAGCGTTTCATTCAAAATAGTCAACAGGGTCGCAAGAAGCGTGTGGAAAAACCAAGGCGCAAAATAACTGCCCATGAACTGAGAAAAGTCAAGCGTGCAGCTGCCACGATGCCACTTGCCACCAGTTTGGCCATATTTCAGAGCTGCAACATCACTGGAGTGCCCAAAAGCACAAGGTGTGCAATACTCAGAGACATGGCCAAGGTAAGAAAGGCTGAAAGACGACCACCACTGAACAAGACACACAAGCTGAAACGTCAAGACTGGGCCAAGAAATATCTCAAGACTGATTTTTCTAAGGTTTTATGGACTGATGAAATGAGAGTGAGTCTTGATGGGCCAGATGGATTGGCCCGTGGCTGGATTGGTAAAGGGCAGAGAGCTCCAGTCCGACTCAGACGCCAGCAAGGTGGAGGTGGAGTACTGGTTTGGGCTGGTATCATCAAAGATGAGCTTGTGGGGCCTTTTCGGGTTGAGGATGGAGTCAAGCTCAACTCCCAGTCCTACTGCCAGTTCCTGGAAGACACCTTCTTCAAGCAGTGGTACAGGAAGAAGTCTGCATCCTTCAAGAAAACATGATTTTCATGCAGGACAATGCTCCATCACACGCGTCCAAGTACTCCACAGCGTGGCTGGCAAGAAAGGGTATAAAAGAAGAAAATCTAATGACATGGCCTCCTTGTTCACCTGATCTGAACCCCATTGAGAACCTGTGGTCCATCATCAAATGTGAGATTTACAAGGAGGGAAAACAGTACACCTCTCTGAACAGTGTCTGGGAGGCTGTGGTTGCTGCTGCACGCAATGTTGATGGTGAACAGATCAAAACACTGACAGAATCCATGGATGGCAGGCTTTTGAGTGTCCTTGCAAAGAAAGGTGGCTATATTGGTCACTGATTTGTTTTTGTTTTGTTTTTGAATGTCAGAAATGTATATTTGTGAATGTTGAGATGTTATATTGGTTTCACTGGTAATAATAAATAATTGAAATGGGTATATATTTGTTTTTTGTTAAGTTGCCTAATAAGTATGCACAGTAATAGTCACCTGCACACACAGATATCCCCCTAACATAGCTAAAACTAAAAACAAACTAAAAACTACTTCCAAAAATATTCAGCTTTGATATTAATGAGTTTTTTGGGTTCATTGAGAACATGGTTGTTGTTCAATAATAAAATTAATCCTCAAAAATACAACTTGCCTAATAATTCTGCACTCCCTGTAGCTGTCCCCTACAAACATGAGTCAAGGCTGCAAGTAAGAGGGTCAAGTCATTCTGTTTATTGGCACACAAAGAACCTTCTTTTATGCAGGTTTCCCTGAGATAGGACCACCCACAGGGTTTTACACAACAACCAATAATAAACGTACATTACAGAAACACTCCCAGCAATTACACACAAAAATCCTCCCCTCTGCCTGTGATCTAATTATGGCACATACATTTTATCCATACACTGTACCTTTAAAACTACACATCCAATCTTCATAACAATTACATATTATTAATCAGCACACTTAAAACATAAACATAACCAAAAATCAGCCAGATCCATCCAGGGGTTAAAAAGTTAGCTGGAGGTCCCTTTATGACCGACCGCAAGCACATTTTCCTGCCCAAAACAGTTCCATAGATTTGGGCTGTGCGGCCGGTCTATTTCAGGCTAAAAAAACGACCGAATGGGACTTAGTCTCTGCAGCAGTAAAATCAGTATGGGAGAAGGTAGAGCTCAGCGGTGTTCGCGGAAATGTGTAGCCGATTTTAGTTCCATGAATTTGGCTACACATACCGCTGAACTCGTCGAATGATCAAAGATGGCTGCCGCCACGTGTTCGGCAAACGAACAAAGGCCACCCAGCATTGTCAATTAAGCTGCGGTTAACCACAGCTTCTGGGAGGTAAATTGCCTGCACACTTCCACTTCTGGGTGGTCTGCCTGTGTGGCACTTGGTTCAGTAAGCCCCATTTACTGAACCAAGTGGGAAATAGCCAGGCACAAAGGGTTTGAACCAGGTCTGGGGACACAGGGGACACCGTCTTAAAGGGGCAGTGTCCCCAACAAGTCTGGGGACACCGTCTTAAAGGGGCAGTGTCCCAATCTTCCTGATGCCCCAAAAAGGTGCTTAAAGGGCCAGCACCAGTCCCATAAAAAGTCCATAAGCCCCAATATGCCCACCGACCGTCTTAAAGGGCCATACACACCAAATAAAAGTGCATACATTTTCACAGTCTCCCAGGGGCCATAGTCATGTGGAAGGAGGCTGGCAAATAGGCTTCTCCACAACCCAGGGAAGCAGGGCAATTTGCCATTTAAAGGGCCAGTTACAAATAGCAGTTTGTAACATCCACCACAGTTGTTTTCCGTGGTCTTCCGGGTCTTTTGGTGTTGCTGAGCTCACCGGTGCGTTCTTTTTAAGGATGTTCCAAACAGTTGATTTGGCCACACCTAATGTTTTTGCTCTCTCTCTAATAGGTTTGTTTTGTTTTTTCAGCCTAATGATGGCTTGCTTCACTGATAGTGACAGCTCTTTGGATCTCATATTGAGAGTTGACGGCAACAGATTCCAAATGCAAATAGCACACTTGAAATGAACTCTGGACCTTTTTTTTTTTTTTTTTGTAATGCACAGAAAACATTACAAGCAGGCATGAGGTGCCCCGAGAGCAATCCTCAAGCTTTTTCTCGCAAAACATGCGGGACATTTGCTTACAAGGCACATTTTTATATTATTGTTAGCTTATACATATCAGTTTGTGAGAGTAGTGTTACACTTTAATTAGGCTAGAACAGTGTTTAAACTAGTCTGCGTGCATCACAGGTTATGCATGTTATGTATGAAAGGAGAAGAAAAGAACAGACGTAGGTGTTAAACATGCAAGTTGCCAGGCAGGCAGGTATATCATCGTTATGTGAGAAGGTGACAGGTTAACTGGGGGCATGGCCCATGCGTACAGTAATGCATAATGCAAGTGTAACGGAGCTCCTTGTACTCCGACTGAGTACCCTCCGTTGACGGATGCTCCTAGCGCTTCCTGAGGACTCCAAGCGCTGCAGCAGACACCACAACCACCGCAGACTCCGCAACCGCCGTATCTTGACTGGAGTCTCGCCGTCTTCCTTCCACCCTGGATCAGCTTCTGTCCTCCAGGACTGTGTGGGAAAGAACTCTTCCTTCCACCCTGTATGAACCTCCAGCATCCAGGACTGTGTGGTGAAGACCCCTCCTCCAAGGAGAGCGTGTCAGAAACAAGCTCTTAAAAGAGCTAAGTGACTCAAGCTCAGGGGAGCATGCAGAGCATAGCAATCCCCAGTGTGATTATAACAGCTCCCTCCAATAACGAGACAAGGCTACGTTTAGAGGGATCAAGAAGAACTGTCAAAACCTTTATTTCCCTTGGGACCAGCCAATAGGGTCACCACAATAACATTGTTGTGAAACCTCAATAAAATCACAAACAGTCAAAACATATCAAACAACACACAGTGACTTATCACAACACAATGGCACATTTTTAAAGGGGTGGGGGGAGACAATATTTAACAGTAAATATCTCACCTGCCTGCAGAATTAGCAATATGCAAATCTACCTGAATATGCAAATGAACCAGTCTTGCAAATCAGGTAGTGCATATTGCTGTTGCTACCAACAGAGGGCACTAGACAAGCTCCATAGCCAAACCCACCTAGTTGGTAGCAAACCTCAGCAATACAAGAGAGCAGGCAATACATTATACAGTACATACACACACACTATAAACAATTACATTACACACACCCTGCACCTATAATGGGTGCAGGGTGACTAAAACATAAGATAAATAAAGCAGCCTACATAAATTGTCTGTCTGAAGGTAGACTAGGGGCTTTAAAGCCAGATACATGAAAGAGTCATAGTCACAGGGGAGGAGGCTGGCAAGTAGGCCTCTCCAGGACCAAGTGGTGAAGGGCACTTCGTCACAGCAAGTGTGGGATGAATATTATAAATGCAAAACCAATTAAAATGGGTGAGCGGTGAATGTTACTTGTTACTAAGTCCTCTGTCGATGGAAAATCTCTGCCCGAGAGGTGTCAATGTGGTATGGACAGCGTCTATTGTATTAGAGACTTTGGGCTTGTACCTCTGTGTGTCCCGGTCTGGGAGTGCTCGGTCAGCCGATACCCAGCGCATTGAAGGGAATTGGGATCATTTGAAAGTCCTGCTGGGGCTCTGCCATGAGCAGCGCTGTGTGTTCCAATTGCTGTCTCATCTGCTCGTCACCGCAGGAACCGGCATGGACGTTGTGGGTAAGTGTATTCTCCGTTTGGTGTTTTGGGGCTCTCCATGGCGTCGAGCAGGATCGGAGCTGTGAGTGAGCTTGCTTGTTACTGGTTGCTGTTTGGGTCTCCACTTCATGCAGGGTCTGGGGTGAGCTTGTGGGCCAATTCGGGCCAGGGTCGCAGTGTGGCTTGATCTTGCCTGTTTGTATTTAGGCAGGTGGGATCTCCATCTTTGGCGCCAACTTTTAGGTCCAGTCAGACGGGGGCCTATGCGGTTGCGGTGGGTATGTGTGGGCCTTTTGATGGGTTTATGCACTGGAGCTTTAGTGTGTCGTTCCTTGCTCGCTATTCGTGCCCAGAAGGCGTCGAGTATTGCTTCAAGTTTGTCCATAATGCTGTGCTTGCCTGTGTGGCAGTTTTGAATGCACATGGCGTCCGCCATTTTAAGTGCCTGTGTAGCATGGGGCTGCTCTGTATGTTCTGCTGTCAGCTTGCGCTTAAGCCCTGCTGCCTGGAAGGATTGGACCGGGATCACTCCCGCCGGTCCTGAGGTGGGGGAGCGGGTAATCGGCGGCTCCGTGCCCCGGGCGCTGAGGCGAGGGGAGCGGCCGTCTCCCCCCTGCCCCGTCCACCACGGGCCGCAGCTTGCTGCCTTGAGTTCTCGCTTGCGGGAAACACTCGAGTCCGGTATCAGATGATTCACCCGGGTGCCCCCAGCATGGGTAGCACACCCCAGCTTTAATTCAGGCATGAGAACTGCTAGTATTTCCCCATAAACAGCCTGTGTGATGGGAGCTCATCCACCATGCGACTGTACTGCTTGCAGGTCAGGCCACGCCCCCAACTCTGGACCTTTTATCTGCTCCTTGTAAATGGGATAATGAGGGAATAACACACCTGGCCATGGAACAGCTGAGCAGCCAATTTTACCATTACTTTTGGTCCCTTGAAAACTGGGAGGCACATATACAAACTGTTGTAATTCCTACACCCTTCACCTGATTTGGATGTAAATACCCTCAAATTAAAGCTGAAAGTCTGCAGTTAAAGCACATCTTGTTAATTTCATTTCAAATCCATTGTGTTTGTGTATAGAGCCAAAAAGATTAGAATTGTGTTGATGTCCCAATATTTATGGACCTGACTGTATGTGTCCAAGTAACATACACAGTTTCTCAGTAGAACAATGCCAAGAGCATAACACTGTCTTTGCCAACCTGTGTAATTCCCATGTTGCATCCTGCTGCCATCTCTCCCCCGGGTAAACAAAACACACACATATAGTCATCCACCTGATGTAACCAGGGAAACTTCTTCCATTGATACATGGTCCAGTTCTAACGCTCACGTCCCCATTAAAGGCACTTTCGGCAGGGGACAAGGGTCATCATGGGCACTCTGTCCGGTCTGCAGCTACATAGCCCCATAAACAGCAAACTGCAATGCACTGCATGTTCTGACACCATTTCGGCAAGCATAACGTTTTTCAGCAATTTCATCTACAGTAGCTCTTCTCTGTGATGGGACCACACATACTAGCCTTTGCTCCCTTACATGCTTCAATGAGCCTTGGGCACCTATGACTGATGCCGGTTTACCATTTGTCCTTTCTTTCACCACTTTTGGTAGGTACTAACCAATGCTTAGCAGGAACACCCCACAAGACTTGCCATTTTGGAGATGCTCTGACCCAGTTGACTAGCCATCACTATTTGGCCATTGCTAAAGTTACTCTGATCTTTTCGCTTGTCCATTTTTTGGGTTCCAAGTAAGCAGATGCCACAACTTTTGCCTCCCTATCCTAAACATTATTACGGATTACCGGTGAAAAGGCCTGGAGTTTAGACAATGTCAAAGTACCAACACTTCATATAAGCAATTTGCCCCAATACACATGCCCCTTAATTAGTGTACCAATGACATCAGTAAGCACCTTGAATTTGTACCGTAAATGCCCACACTATTTAATTAAAAGCGGCAATCTGTTTAGTATTCGTGTCCATCAGTGGTCTAAATGGTTTTGCTTTTGTGAATTTAGATCTTTTCTGTTTTCATATTAAAAAGTCTTTTCAGTTTTCACATTAAAAATGACAGATGAAACAATACGTTAATTCTAATTGAAACAGGTGGTAACATATTAAATTAATGCTGCTTCCTTTATCAAATCATAATGATAAATCATTAACGTGCCTGTAAAAATTAATTGTTTCCGATTGATTGTACTATTTTTAGCCCCGGGTATAAGCACACTAAATATTGCTAATGGCAGTAAGCCTTGAAGGCACATCAAACAGAGCAATTCTGTCCATTTACTGCAACATATATCACATTATCAGTCTTTAATGAAAGGAAAATGTCTAGAGAACAACTGTCACTATTTCTTTCTCTTTTTGTTTCAAAGGTGGCAGCATGATTAAAGATGACCAATAACATGACCAAGTGCTTGCTTTTTCTCCAATAGTAAAGCAATAATGTAATTAAACATTGCCGGAGATCTAGGTAAAATTGCCTTTCTTGATTTCTTAATGGATCATTGCTTGTTTGTTTTTTTGTACAGCCTTTTGAAAAGGAGTGAAAGAGCTGTGTGCCCTGGACTTATATATTCGATTTATATTATAAAATGCTAAGAATTGTTTTTGTAGCGGATAGCACCAGGCGACCCTACAAATATACTGTATATACCTGCATTCGTGTATCTGCTGTGTTTTTCTATGTATTAAAGAGAATTGTATTCCTCTGATTGTTCGGTAGTTTCATTCCCTTAGTTTATTCGAATTAAACTACCGAACGACCAGACCTCCCCTGTGTGAAGTGTGTCCTCAATTACCTGTTGCAACATTGTTGCGAATGGGTAATTGAACAGTAAGTAGCCGTCCTTTGTTCTCGGGGGTGGCCGCCATTCGACAAACGAACACGTGGCGGCGGCCATTTTAAAACACCGAACAGCGGTGTTTTGCCGTTGAGTGTCTGGAACTAAAATCGGACACTCGAGTAGGTGAACACTGCTGAGACCTCCACAGCCCTGGTCCGTTCGGTTCCAAACTACCGAACGGCCCCTCGTTCGGTAGATAGAAAATACCGAACGAGGGGATTCAGGCGAACCCTCCCTAGCCTCTATAGCTAGAGGTTTTCGTGTATTTTATTCCCTTATGCCAGGACCGACCGCAGGGCCCATTCACATGGAACCGGATTCGGCTATCTCAGTTCGTGCGGTCGGTCATTTTATTCCCTCCATACTTTTCCCGAACCCCTGGTCTGATCTGGGTGATTTTTGGATATGTTGTTCACCCAGATCAGGGGTATCCGGGGATGTAGGATTTAAAGAGGTACCCCTACGTTTAGGGGTACATCCAGAAATGGGGGGAATTGGTGTGCTGGATAAGGGGATTATGATGCTGGCTGAGGGGAGGAGATGTGTGGGAGGTTACCAGGACAGGATTGGCTACTGTAATAATTACTGTAAATCCCTCCCTTGCATGGGAGCATGCTTTATAAGGAGACTGTGATTAAAGGCTTTCAGTTATGCTCCTGAAACTGTGTGTCGTCCAGTTATTGGGATTGCTGTTGGGATATTGCTGTATTTTACCTGCTGGGAGCCTTGCCTGTGGATTTACTATTTACTTGTTCCTGAGTCCCACTTGGATTATAAGCGGAGATAACCTGGGTAATATTGCATCTCCGCTACAGTTTTCATTAAAATAATTTTACATTTTCTATCATGTCTTATATTCCTAATGTCCCATAATTATTCCTGTAGGTTGTCTCTGCACGCTTTCCAGTTAAATATAATGTCATTCTCAAGAACCAGTGCCCAAAATAGAATTTCATAATCAAGGTAGGAATATTTTCTTGTTTTATAAAGAGGAAAACGTAATTTAAAAAAAAAATTTTTTTAAACGTAAATCAATAGTCCTTAACAATACTTTATGGGCCCTCGCTGCTAGAGACTCAGGTGACACAATGTTGTCTATGATTTATAAAGGGCACTCTAAATACCAGAACCACAACAGCTTAGTGAAGTGGTTCTGGTGCAAATAGCATGTCCTGCAGTCTGACACTTATAAACATTGTCTTTTCTGATAAAAAAAACAAAAAACAAAAAAAAAACAGTGTTTACTTTTCTCGTTAAGTAGAA